GTCAGTGGGGTCCCCCAAAACTCCCAGCCCCCCAAAATACCCCCCCAAGCCCTTCACTCACATCTTGGCAAAGCCCCCCAAGCAGTTCTGCAGGAGGTAGGTCAGCCTGCTGTTGCAACAGGGGACATGGGGCTCCTGTAGGGACCCTGGCAGTTAAGGGGGGGGCCCTGAGCACCCCCACAAATCCAGGGGCCTCCCCATACCTTTTTGGCAAGGGCCATGATGACTTGCCCCAGGGTAGAGAAGCTGGCATTGATGGCCTGCGTCTCGTGCAGCTGCTCCCCTGCCAACAGCAACTCATCCAGCTGTTCACTGCCTGCCAGGTCCACCAGGCTCAGCACCGCTGTGGGGGGAGAGGAGGGTCACCCCAAAAACAGGGGGCCCAAAAAGGGCTCACCCCAAACCTGTGGTCCAAAAAGGGGGGCCCCAAAAAGGCTGACCCTAAACTGGTGACGCCAAACCTGTGACCCAGAAAGTGGGACCCCAAAAGGGCTCACCCCAAACTGATGGCCCCAAAAGGGGAACGCCAAAAAGACTTACCCCAAACCCATGGCCCTGAAAGGTGGGCCCCCCCAAAGGCTCACCCCAACTAGTAGCCCCAAACCCGTGGGCCCCAAAAAGTGCTCACCCCAAACCAGTGGCCCCAAACCTGTGGCCTGAGAAGGGGGACCTCAAAAGGGCTCACCCCAAATTTGGAGCCCCAAATGCAGGGCCCCAAAACGGCTCACTCCAGAAGGGGGGTCTCAAAAAGTGCTCACCCCAAACGAGTGGCCACAAACTCATGACCCTGAAAAGGATTGCCCCAAACTGGTGGCCCCAAAAGGAGGGCCCTGAACCCATGGCCCCAAAAGGTTCACCCCAAATCCATGGCCTTGAAAGCCCCTAAAAGGCTCACCCCAAGAGGAAGAACCCAAAAAGGGCTCGCCCCAAACCAGTGACTCCAAATCCATGGCCCTAAATGAGGGGCCCAAGAGGGCTCACCCCAAACTGGTGGCCCTGAACCCATGGCCCCAAACCAGTGGCCCCTAAAGGCTCACCCCAAACCAGGGGGGGTACCTACCCTAAAAGCTCACGCCAAACCACAGGCCCCT